CCAATTTGACAATAAATTTCATATATTAAAAAAATAAATAAAAAGTTTTCTAATTGCATTTTAACAGCAATGATAATACTCATTATTTTATAAGTAAATAAAATGCTTTTTAAGTCTTATTTGTTGTTTATCTTGTTTAGCATTCCCAATAACCCTATCTAGTTTTTAATACTTTCTTTATTTACAAGCTATATGAATTTTCAAAGATATTAAGTGATTTCCCTAAAGTTATATAGCAACTGAAAGCTAAACTGTCACTGGAACCCAGGTCTTTTACATCTGCTTCCTCCTGAAGAATTGTTTATTTATAGTGAAGTTTACATAATTTCATTTCCTAGAATAGTCCATTTCAGTGCCTACAGTGCCCACTCTACTGTATCAGAGTATCTAGGAAACCAAATTAGTACAAAAAAAGTAGACATTATTGTTATATTTTTGTTTTCTTAAAAATTTTTTTTAAGATTTTATTTTTGAAAAACAGAGAGAGACATGGTGTGAGTTAGGGAAGGCAGAGAGAGAGGGAGACACAGAATCTGAAGCAGGCTCCAGGCTCTGAGCTGTCAGCGCAGAACCTGAAGTGGGGCTTGAACCCACAAGTGGTGAGATCGTGACCTGAGCCAGAGTCAGCCACTTAACTGACTGAGCCACCCAGGTGCTCCTAGTGTTATATTTTTAATTATTAGACTTAGCCTTCTCTTAATCATTCTCTATTCAACATTACTTCTTGGACCTCTAGTCCTTCTGAATTAAATTCATGGAAATTCTCTTTTTAAGGATCTGTAGTAACCATTGTTTGAAAATGTCTTTATTTTGCTCTCATTCTTTGAAGATAGTTTGGCTGGCTATAGAATGCTAGATTAGTAGTTATTTTCTCTTGACACATGAAGATATTATACTTTCTTCTGGTTTTATTGTTTTTGTGGAGAAGCCAGCTGTTGATCTAATTTTTATTTTTAGACAGTTTTTTCTCTTAGGATGTTTTTAAGGTATTCTCATTATGTTAGGTGTTCTGTAGTTTGCTGTAATATATTCACAATGTATTCTTCTCACTTAACCTTGCTTGGTATTCCCAGAATTGAATATTAGTATCTCATTAATTCTGGAAAGTCTTTAGTCATTGAATTACTTATTCCTGTCCTCTTCTTCTAGAACTGAGTCTTACTCTATTCAGTGTTTTACATTTTCCGTCTCATGTTTCTTTGAATTGCATTATGTACTTAAAAAAAAATCCACCATCCAGTTCAGTACTTTTTTTCCCAGCTCTATCTTATCTGTTATTAAACCTTTCTATTTAAAATATTATGTTTTCTATTTTTAGAAGTGCTATTTAGTTCATTTCAGATCTGGCCAGTTTTAATACTCCTCTTGTTCTTTAGTTATATTTGATATCTTCTTTTCATGGATCATATATATTTTTTATATTCTGTAGCTGACCATCACATAACATATGAAGTTTTTATAGGTTTTATTCTTTTATTCTTGCTCATGGCTTGTTTTCTTTAATGTTCAGTGATTTCTGATTTTGAATTTGTGTTTCTTAGAGCTTGATCTGTTGGAACTCTCAGAGGCCTGAGTTTAAAGTGTATTATTTTCACAATGGATTTGTATCTGTTTCTGCTAATAAGCATTTATATTTGCCTTGGTACTACAAACCCAGGATCACTTAATTCTACATTTTCACTCAGGATTGGAGGGTTAGGGGAGCACAGAGATTGTGTAATTTTGATCCCAAGACCATGTGAGGGCAGAACTGTGGTTAGAAATTCTTAGGGGGAGGGTGTTATTTTTTTTTTTTTTAAATTTTTTTTTTTTTCAACGTTTATTTATTTTTTGGGACAGAGAGAGACAGAGCATGAAATGGGGGAGGGGCAGAGAGAGAGGGAGACACAGAATCGGAAACAGGCTCCAGGCTCTGAGCCATCAGCCCAGAGCCTGACGCGGGGCTCGAACTCACGGACCGCGAGATCGCGACCTGGCTGAAGTCAGACGCTTAACCGACTGCGCCACCCAGGCGCCCCGGGAGGGTGTTATTTTTGCTACTACTGTACTCCACTTAGAACTATGATCTAGATAGGAATTTTTAATTTCTCCGTCTGTGCAACACATTTATTATTTTTTTTAACTAAGGATGTTGTCCTTTACAGATTTTAGGTTTTATTTTTTTAAAGTAATCTCTGTGCCCAACATGAGGCTGGAATTCATGACCTCAAGATAAAGAGTTGCATGCTCTCCCATTGAACCAGCAATGTGCCCTCCAGAGGTTTTAGATTTTTGCAGGAGCCCTTGGTCTATCTCTCAGCTTTCTTGGGCTTCTTTGTCTCCTGCCCTCTCACACCTTGAGTAGCTGGTTAAAGCCCAGGCACTAGTCTGCCATGGATTGGCGGTTTGCCTGGAACAGTTTCCTGCTCCAGTACTAAAGCCTTGGGTTCATAGTTTCTGTCCCCACTTCCCTTCCCCAGGCTCTGAGGAATTCTGTTATTTTTCCTTTTCTTCCCTGTATTTAAAATGTAGTTTAGTTTTTCAGAATATTTAAGGTATGCTATTCCAGGGAGAGTTTTTCTAACATAAAGTCCAAATTTTTTTAAGAGTGGAAGGAAATAAAATTAGTAATCAGAAAATTGCTTGGGAAACACAATAAGAGTGAAAAGAATTAGATTATTTCAAAGGGTATTTTTCAGAGAGTCAAAAAATAATGTATTTGTACCCCATATTGAGATTATTTCTTAAGGAGCTGAATACATTTCCGTAGTTTATTTTTCCTTTTGTACAGTTTTATAAAATATTTATAAATTATTTTTATTTCCATTTTTATTAGTGTCTGTACATATCATGACAGTCAAACTATAATTCAGATATATTGCAGTCATGCTTTTTTTTGAAGATAAATTTAGATCACATTGATTCCCAGTCTCCTTAGTAATGTATTTGTAAATCATTTTAGAGTGGGTTAATTATGCAATAGGATTTTATTGATTAACAAAGCATTTACATTATATATTATTTTATAATGATATTTTTACTTTGAACTGAGATTAGAATCCCACAGTAGAGATCAGTTTTAGTACAAGAAGACAGAATTGCCATAATGACATTATTCAATTTAACACACATACACGTATGCAGGAGGACCTGCATTGGATTTTGTTCTTAGAATTTCTTCTTTTATTCCATAGTACCTTTCTGTCAGGGTGTGCTTAGATTACAGAGAATATGTACAAATACATAAAGTCACAGGATTTTTTTTAACTTGTAAGCATTCCTAATGCAACTGTGCTTCTTTCTCTTTTTCCTTTTTCTTTTTACTTTTCTTCTTCTTCTTTTTTTTTTTTTTTTCCAGACAGAAAAGGGGAGTGCACTTCATGAAGCAGCTTTATTTGGAAAGGTGGATGTTGTGAGAGTTCTGTTAGAAACAGGTAACTATTGTGATTCTCCATGTAGCTTTTTCTGCCAAATACAATTTCTATTTCAGGAGTAGACAAAGGGAAATGGCACAGTTCTTTCATAATCACCCTTACTTTTTACCTTTACTCCACATTGCAAGTGCATATTCATATCACATAGAATTGAACCTCAATGTTTAGATAAAATTGATATAAATGTGCACCTTCCTTTACTCAATAGACTTGTCAGTAAAAAGCTTTTAGAAATTACAATTGTATACATTGAAATCACATTGAAATATACTAGAGAAATTACCAAAAGGAATAATTCTCTGCCTTCTACAAGAGAGAGGAACTGATCCTTATGAAATCATGACAATTGCTCGGTTTATCGAAAACATAATATTTCCCTAGATTATTATATTGGGAACTGTGATTAATAGTGTTCCCTATCTTTAAGGCATATTTACCTTGTTATTTCATCAAGTGAGTAGCTATTGTTTGTAAGCTGCAATGATTTAAGGGAATGTTTTAGAGGGAATGCTTTGAAGGTATAACAAAGAGGCTTATTTGTCTTCATATGTATATTATGAATAAAATGAAATAAAATTGGAACTGGGGTTGGATTTTTTTAGGATCAAAAAGCATGGGTACAAATTCATACTTGGAAACTATTGATGTGAGTCTTTTGTGCTGCAGACTACATTTAATGTATTTATTTTCTGCTGTAAAAAAATGGAAAACATTAGCTGACTGTGGCATTTTGGTTGTAGTTATACTGAGTGAAAATTTCATGTACATTTAATTTGGACATGTAACACAGTGATATAATAAATGTGTTATAAGCAACCAATTACATATGTGCTGGTCACACATTTCTACACAAATTTAAGCAAATACTTAATAATCTTATTATGATGACCTAACATTTGAAACCGGATTCTGAAAACTGGCTTTGTTTGCAGTTAGATGTTTAGAAAGTTTATAAACTTTTTTGGGGGTCAGTGAAAGTTATTTGTTACATGAAAATAAGTTCTTTAGTACAATAAATGTTTTTAGAATTAAAATAATTCCAAAGGTGTTTTAATTACAGAACAAGAAGTTTGCTCACCAGGTAGATGATTGAATGTTGTTTACATTGAGTATAATCTTACATAAATAAATATGAGATATTTGACTTTGTAGCTGGACAAATAGTATTTGGACAATAGTTCAAAATAATCATGCTTTTTCAACTTTTGTGAATACTTAAGTATTCTAAGACTGTTGTTATATTATGCACATGATACATCATTATTTAAAATGTTTTTACCAAATTACACAGAATATATATATATATCACAGGACCATTATACTTTAGGAATTCATGTTCTAAATCAATAATATTTTTCAGTTTGATAGAGTATCATTTAAATAGCTATAATCCAAACTGGTTATAATTCTAAAAAACAGTCTGGGGCGCCTGGGTGTCTCATTCGGTTAAGTGTCTGACACTTGATTTAAGCTCAGGTCGTCATGATTTCATGGTTTGTGAGCCCCATGTCGAGCTCTGTGCTGACAGTGTAGTGCGGAGCCTGCTTGGGGTTCTCTCTCTCTCTTTCTCTCTGCCCCTCCCCTGCTTGCATGTGTACTCTCTCTGTCTCTCAAAATAATTAAAAAACGAACAAACACACACCAATCTTAATGATTGGGTCAGTGCCCTTTAAGACTTAATTCATTGTCAAGAGTGTTCCTTCTCTTTGGTAGCAGTAGACCTCCACCTTATTTCTTTCTTTCTTTTTTTTAATATTTTTTAACATTTCTCTATTTTTGAGAGACAGAGAGCAACAGAAAATGAGTAGGGGAGGGGCAGAGAGAGAGGGAGACAGAATCCAGCAGGCTCCAGGCTCTGAACTGTCAGCACAGCCTGATGCAGGGCTCGAACCCACGATCTGTGACATCATGACTTGAGCCAAAGTCAGACGCTTAACGGACTGAGCCACCCAGGCGCCCCTCCACCTTCTTTCTTACTAAAATCGTGTGTGTGTGTGTGTGTGTGTGTCTAGGGTTTTAATTTTTTCTAAAAATCACTTTCAGTGCTTGATCTGTATATGTTTGATACTAGAACAGTTATATGTTGACAGTATCTTCTGATGACACTTCAGTGGTGTACATCTAGTGGATTTTTCTTTTTCTTTCAGGAATTGATGCCAACATAAAGGATAGCTTAGGTAGAACTGTCTTAGACATTCTGAAAGAACATCCATCTCAGAAATCTCTCCAGATTGCAACACTCTTACAAGGTAAACAATATTGAATGATGGATGAATTTGCCTTAAAGTTAAGATTAAATTAAATCTACCATAGTTTTCTCTTGAGTTTTTGAGTTAATGTTTACTTTTGAGTGAACTTAGTTACATTTTTTTCTGGTAACCCTTAAGCTAAATAATAATACTTCTTAATGTTTTATTTCTGTTTTAAACTAATCAGTATTTTAAGAAAAGCTAAAGTGGTTTTTCACTCATTTGCTATTAAAAGGGTTTTTTTTAATCCATATAGCAAATATGTAGTTATGAACTTGAAGATAATAAGCCTATAGGGTGATGATGATTAAGTATTATCTTACACTTGAATAATGCTTTACGAATTTGCAGTTTTTTTTTTTATTATTTTGCCTGTTTTCTATAACTTTGTGAGATAGATAAGTCTGATATCATTATTCTCCTTCTTTCACATGAGGGGAACTAAAGCCCCAAGAGGCTGATATATAACCTATTCTAGGTGGTTAGAACTAGTACATAAATATTGGGTTAACAACAAAAATTGTACTTAACTGGAAGGATACAGATTGTTTCCTCCTTAATCCAGGAGTACAAGATGATTCGATCTTGCCAGGCTTTGTTTTTGATACAGGTCATTAAGTAACTGTATAGTTAGTGAAGCATTAGGTGTCCTGAAGGTTTGACAACCATGTAGGTACTACTTTTTCATTGTAGGATTGTATACTTCCTTACTTGATCTAAGACTTTTAATGGGATTTAGATTTAAATACTTTCCCTTTTGGGACATTTGGGCTCAACAAATGAGTGGATAAAGAAGATATGATTATATACATACACACACACACACACACACACACACACACACACACACACACACACACACATACACCCAATGGAGCGTTACTCGGCAATCAAAAAGAATGAAATCTTGCCATTTGCAACATGGAGGGAACTAGAGTGTATTAAGCTAAGCGAAATTAGAGAAAGACAAATATCATATGACTTCGCTCATATGTTGAATTTAAGATATAAAACAGATGAACATAGGGAAGGGAAGCAAAAATAATATAAAACAGGGAGGGGGACAAACCATAAGAGATTCTTAAATATAGAGAACAAACTGAGGGTTGCTGAAGGGGTTTTGGGTGGGGGGATGGGCTAAATGGGCAAGGGGCATTAAGAAGGACACTTGTTGAGATGAGCACTGGGTATTCTATGTAGGGGATGAATCACTGGATTCTACTCCTGAAGTCATTGTTGCACTATATGCTAACTAACTTGGATGTAAATTAACAAAAATAATACATAAATACATAAATACATAAATAAATACTTTCCCTTTTTGCTTTGTGATTAGGCCTGACATGTCGTATGTTCCCTTAAAAACCCAGACATTGGGGCACCTGAGTGGCTCAATCAGTTAAGCATCGGACTCTTGATCTCAGCTTAGGTCTTGAGCTTAGGGTTGTCATTTGGGCTGTGTCAGTTGGAGCCCTGTGTTGGGCTCCATGCCTAGCGCTAAGCCTACTTAAAAAAAACAACAACAAAATAACAAAACAAACAAAAACCAAAAAAAAAAAAAACAGACATTTTTTCTACCCTTTCCAGTTAGCTTCTACACTGCTCAGTGGTGATTATCGCCTGATTGTTACAGATTGGTGGCAAGTGTAAATAGGGGAGGAAGCTGGGATTGTTTCCTTGGATGTCAGTTGGGAAGTTGAAGAACAGCTTTATCCTATGAGAGATAAATGAATTAAAACCAAGTCAGGCAGGTGATGCATAGATACAGGAGTCAACAAAAGCCAAGAGGGGTAAAAAAATGTGCTACAGGAGGTCATTCATGCTGTCTTCTCTATCTTCAAAACCTGTCAGGGAAAGGAAGTCCCCTGCAATTTTCTCGTTAATAAATAACTTAATTACAAGTCAAGTGCTTATAGAGATAAATCAAAATACGTGAGTAGCTCTTCATATTAATTCAAATCAGATTGAATGAAAGCTAAAAAAAAGAAAAAAGAATGGTACATAACATTTTTTCTTGCCCTTCTAGGTGCTTTATATTTCATATTGAACTTTTGTATCTAAATTAAAAAAAAAACCTGAGGCTTGTGAATATTATGTCTTTTGGGAAAAGCAAAATAAATGTTCACTAAAAAGAGGGTATGACATAATTCTAGACATTTACTGCATTGATTTAACTTAAATGAAAGTGTTATTACATAGGAGTTAACTATCTGTGTTCTCTTAAGTGGTCAAAATTCATTACGTATGCCAACTTGTGATAGGGTATATGGGACATCTTTGAATTTTTAAAATTATTGGCGGGTTTTAGAATGTAAATGTATTATCTATATTCTTTGCATTCCTGGGTCACACCAGTGGTACATTTTAAGTTTTATGAAAAATTCTTATTTCACTAAAGCCAATTTAGAGTAGATAAAATTACTATTTGTGTCCTGGAGGAGGAATTCACTTTACATAATTACTGCATTTGGTCAAAAAATTTAAGGATAGAATTCCATAGGTTTCTTTCTTTTCCTAGTAGAATTTTCCTAGTAGAAATGCCCTTAGGTAGAAACTATTTGGATAGTATGAAGACACAATTGTTTGTAATGAGAACAAACTTTTTTTTTTCTTTTGTCTTTTTTTTTAACTTTATTTTTTATTTTTTAAAATTTACATCCAAATTAGTTAGCATGTAGTGAAGCAATGATTTCAGGAGTAGATTCCTTAATGCCCCTTACCCATTTAGCCCATTAGCAACCCTCAGTTTGTTTTCCATATTTATGAGTCTCTTCTGTTTTGTCCTCCTCCCTGTTTTTATATTATTTTTGTTTCCCTTCCCTTATGTTCATCTGTTTTGTCTCTTAAAGTCCTCATATGAGTGAAGTGATATGATTTTTGTCTTTCTCTGAGTGACTAATTTCACTTAGCATAATACCCTCCAGTTCCATCCATGTAGTTGCAAATGGCAAGATTTCATTCTTTTTGATTGCTGAGTAATACTCCATTGTATATATATACCACATTTTCTTTATCCATTCATCCATCGATGGACATTTGGGATCTTTCCATACTTTGGCTATTGTTGATAGTGCTGCTAAGAACAAACTTTCTTAACTAGTTTTTAAGAAAAAGATTCCTTCTGAATAAAGTGTAAGTAAAAGATCAGTATGGGGAGAGATCAGTTGATTTAATCCTTTAGATGGAGACTACAAACTAGCCACTGTGAGCTGAATGCTTTTGGCAGATAGCAGATTGATTTTGTTTAGATTAAATATTTTTGGTCACACTGTGTTTCCATAAAAATTGAATTGGCTTTCAACATTTACAAATGTAGGGTTTCAGCTAAAACTTCAGAGTTTTGTTGGTTTCTCAAAAAATGCAGGCTTTTATTTTACTTTACTGTCGAACTTTGGATGGGGCACCTACTTTCTGGTTAATCATGCTCCACATGCTTTCTGTTTTCTCCATGATAATGGGGCTGAATATTTATTGACATTTATCCCTGCATTCAGATGCTTAGAGTGAGATGTTTTCTCGTCCCATGTTTATCTGGCTGTGCCTCTTATTAGCTGTATGAACATGGCCAAATTAAAATCCTTCTCCTTGATCCCCCACTTATTCTCTGCCTCTCTCTCAAAAATACATAAACATTAAAAAAAGTGGGGGGAGGGCTTCCTGGGTGGCTCAGTTGGTTAAGCGTCCGACTTTGGCTCAGGTCATGGTCTCACAGCTCATGGGTTCAAGCCCTGCATTGGACTCTGTGCTGACAGCTCAGAGCCTTGAGCCTGCTTTGGATTCTGTGTCTCCCTCTCTCGCTCTGTCCCTTCCCTGCTCATGTTCTGTCTCTCTCTCTGTCTCTCAAAAATAAATAAACATTAAAAAAATTTAAAAAAATAAAATCTGATCCTTGAGTTGTCATCTTTAAAACAGATTGTAAGAGTGTGTGTCATTGTTTTGTGAGGATCAAGTGAGTTAATTTATATTACTTAGAACACTGCTGGGTGACATATTTAAATTTTGGCTGCTCTAATATTATTATGTCTTCATCAAAGTTACAAAAATGAGAGATAGGCTGAGTGTGAAATATTACTTTAGGAATAATAGGAGAGAATGTTATTTCTTTGTGGAAGTAAAGCTTAATGTGAAATTATGCTTGTCTTACAAGAGTAAACACCATTATAAACTTCATTCATGTTACCTAACTGGTTGTGGTGTCCATTGAATTTGATGTTCCTGTTTAGGTATCAAGTCTATTCAAAGCATCTTTAAGATGGTTTTAAATCCTCACGTAGAATACACTTAAGGAAACTAAGGGTGTTATTTTATCTTTAACAGGTGAATTTATTTATAACAGGTGAAAGAATGTGTCAAATTTAGTTTCCACAAAAAGAGTTTATGAGTCTCTTCCAAAATATCTTTTAAATTTTAATTAAAGAGATTTAAATTAATAGCTCATCATCAAGTTCTTTCAGTTTTTTTGGTTTTTTGAAGTTTTTTTAAAAACTTAGGATATATTTAGGATATGAGGAAATAAATGAAAAGCTGATCACCAGAAGTAAAACATAAAGTTTAGTTATATTAAAATAAATGAATTTGACTATGTAATTTCAAAAACTTGTATACACAGAATATTTAGAAGGTGTGGGAAGATCAGCAGCCCTTGAAGAACATGTACATGAAGATACAACACAAGAAATACATATTTCATCTCCTGTTGAATCTCCTTCCCAAAAGACTAAGAGTGAGTAGTTAATTATAAAGCCCTATAAATAACACTAGACCTTTATGTCCAAATTTGTTCTATACGTACAAAAAGGCTAACACTTGAAAATTTGAGGCCTAGTAACTTATATCTTATACTTTGTATTTTATCCATTTTTCAGTTTATTGAACTTTTCTATTCGTCAGGCCCTATTCTTGGCCGTGACACAGTAGCTAGCAAAATTAGCAATCTCTGCTGTCATGATATATACATGGACTAGATATTTCACACGAGATTTGTTTTCCAAAATGTATTTTTAATGTAGAATAAAAATATTGATATCTGGATTATAACAGCTGGAGTTTTATTTTTTCCTAGAAGAAATTAGGAGTATAAAGTACCTTTCTGAGAATGATTAGAAAAACGCATATTTGCATGCAACCTACAAAATATTCATGTTTTGACAGATGATGCATACTATTTATCTGTTACTTCTGTGTTTTTCCTTTATGTCACATAACATAATTTTAGTTTATTACTTATATAATTATTTATCTAAATACATTCTATTTCTTTTTATTGAAACTAGGATGTAGGCTCCCAGCACCATTTAAAATTTGTTAATGAATTCTGTCATATGAAAGATTATTAAAGATTAAATGTTATAATGAATGAAACCTTAGGAATTGTAATTCCAGATGTTTTTATGTCATATGTATAAATGAACCTTCAATACTTATTTCTATTTTGAAAAAGAATAATAATAGGCAAAATTGGGATTTTTCCTTGTCTTTTAATTTAGTCTTTTCATTCTTGCATTAATTATGGTTCAGTACCTTGTTTTCAACATATTTTTTGATTTACTTAATGTTGTTTGTCATGAGTTCTGTCACTATACTAGTCATATTTTTATTAGTTAATAGGAAATTTTAGCAATAGCCTTTCTTAAAACTTTGAAAAAAATTACTGTCTTCTTATAGGTGAAACTGTGACTGGAGAATTATCAAAACTCTTGGATGAAATAAAACTCTGTCAAGAAAAGGATTATTCTTTTGAAGATTTGTGCCACACAATATCAGACCACTACTTAGATAATTTGAGCAAGATTTCAGAGGAAGAACTTGGGAAAAATGGAAGCCAGAGTGTAGTAAGTAAGGGGGGAAGGAAGACAATGTGTCTGTCTTTGCCAATTCAATGTGTATCTAAAAGGCAGGGATTTGTGCATTATCCTATCTTCAGATTCTGCCAGTGTCAAATGTCAAATTCCCTATTGCTCTTTTCCTGATGTTCATTGGTATTTTACTCTCACTGCATGTGTAGGGGAAGGACTGCTTTGATAAATCACTGATAGTTTGTGATGATCTTGCTGCTGTTGACTTGCTTAATACATGAAATCATAGTTTCTTTGATTATGTTCTTTAAGTCTCACTGGGCATGATGATAATTGGTTTCCAAAGAAAGAAAAAAAAATCTTCCTTTTGTCTTTCTTCCCCAAGTTCTCTGTGAATTTAGTCTACCCCATCTTGATTAAAGACAGAGCTGGGCTATGTGTGTATGTTCCCCAGTCACTCTGTATGTTATGGTAGGAGAGAGACATTTTGGAAAATTTGACCTCCGTAGTTTTATAATCTTAGTCAAATCCCTTATGCAACCTACAAGCTCAGAATCTAAATCATGAGTTAGAGATTACTGATCATTTGGATTTCTATATTAACACAACAGCAAGAAAAACTATAGAGCATCAATCAGTTTAAAATTAAGATTTGTATACCTATTTTGTGTCATATAGAGGTAGGATTTATAGGGTGTACTGGTATTAAAGGAAATGCATTATTATAACATGAAATCTTTACTCACTTTTAGAACTTAATTTGTTATAGAAACATTATGCTTTCTTCAAAAGCTAATAAGAGTGTATTGTGTTAAGTATGTCATATTATTTATGAAAACTAAAAACATTGCCAAGTATAGTGACTATAAAGAGAATGTTTACTTCATTTAACTACTTACTGTGTGCTGATCCTTGTTTCCCAGCATAGTCTAGCTCCATGGCTAGTCTTACTCCTTTTGTTTTGTTTTTTTGTTATTGTTTTTGTTGCACTGTCTTCTTTAAAGCATTGTATTATTGGCTCCAGTAAAACTCCTTATGAATAATTATGATTAATTACATATATACTGAAGTAAATACATGCAAGTTTTACCAAATGAAATTTTTATATTAATGAAATATTTACTGTAGTGTCAGTGTACTTTAATGTCAGGACAAAATTTCCTGTTTAAAAATCTAAAACTTATATATTATCTCCAAATTACAAACCAATTACATTTCAGCATTTCCTTGAAGGTTGGTTACAAGTTTTTCTTTTTTTTTTTTTTTAATTATTTTTTTGAAGGTTGCTTACAAATTAAAACATATTTATCCTGTATAAATATAATGTGTGGTGTTTAGGTTTTTAGGTTTGTTCCTAAAGATTTCTCTAAACTGACTATACTTCTGCTCCTCTACTTCTAAACCCACAAATTTCTGAAAGCCCTAGTTTTCTCAACCAGTGGTTTCTAAACTTTTGTTTTCTTGGTTGTACATACCATAGCAAACAAATTTTAAGTAAATCTCCCAATTGCATGTATTCATAAATGATGTATATCTATTACTATTTTAAGAATTTGTGCTATAAATTAGGTATATACTTCAAGAGAAATTCAAGTAAGAAGGATACAGAGTAAGTGTAAATAGAAGCTCTATTTTTTTTCCTTTTAACTCATTGAGTATCTAGTGCACCCTGGGGTCTGCACTGCACACTTTACTTGGAGACCAGGCTTACAGGTTTCATGTAGTGATAGCAGGGATTTTAGTATTACGAAGGTAACATAGTTTAGGGGAACGTGGTCAAATATTTTTTTTGTAAGTCTAAGACTCTATTGTGATAGTAGCAAGAGAGAAATTAATGCTCATAAATTGAACTGAATATCTTACAATTCAAGCATCCTTTCATACAAGAAATCACTCTTTGTTCCTGTGATAAACCTTATATTGTGTTCCTTGAAAGTATTGTCTTATTAAATAATAAATGTTACATGAGGCAGAAAAGCAGAGGGTACATATGAGTAAGGCAAGTAGTTTGATTTATCTGAAATTATTGATAGAGTTTATAAAGGGAGAATATGGGAGATAAAATTAGAAGGATAGGTTGAGGTCAGGCCATGGATGATTTTGAATGTCAGGATAAGAATTTTGGTATTTATTTTTTAGAAAGCGAGAGAAATCTAAAGGATTTGGGGCAGATAAAAGACATCATTGGAAGTGTCCTTTCAGAAGATTAATCTAATAAAAACTTGTTATCAATGTTTAAAAAGTAATCTGATTACTTTGACCCTTCTCAATAGTCTGTGTTTCATTTGGGTTCATTTGCATTTGTTGAATATTTCTGTTCATCAAAAATGTTTTTTCAGAGTTTGTCATGAATTGTACTCTCAAATTATGCAAAAAATTAAGTACTTATAGATCACCTAATATAGATGTTTGTTACCATGTTGTAAGTTATAGGATTTATTTATTTATTTATTTATTTACGTATTTATTTATTTATTTAGAGAGTGTGCATGCACTCACACGTCCACAGTAGGGGGAGGGGCAAAGGGAGAGAGAGAGGACATTTTCAGCAGGTTCTACGCCCAGCACGGAGCACAATGTGGGGCTTGATCTTGACCTGAGCTGAAATCAAGAGTTGGACTTAACCTGTTGAGTCACACAGGCACCTTACATTATAGGATTTATGATAGCAGTAATGAAACATGATTCCTGACTTAAAGGAGTTCAGAATTCCTATTCTAAGAAGGCTTTAGTCACAGTGTACAGTAATAAGATTAACATGCAAAACACCAAATATATATTATGAGTGCTGACATTTATTAGGTGCTTGCTATTCAAATGCTTTATATGAATTAAGCCACTTAATCCTCATAGTAAAGCTAACTGTGGATTTATAGACTGGGGAAATGACTCAGCTGGCAAGTGGCAGACCTAGGATTCAAACTCAGAGCTAATATCTTTAATTTCCAGCTACATTTCTCATAATAAATTACCCGGTGGTCAAAGGAAATTTTCTTTAAAGGGAGAGACTAGTGAAGACTTACTGGTAGTCACTGAAGGCTTCATGGAGGTAGGGAGAGACCAAACTGGGCTCTAGTGGAAGAGGAGATATGTCTTGTACTTGTTTTGGAATGAATGAATGAGTGAAAGGGAAGATTCCAGCTTGGAGAAACAATATATGCAAAAGCAGAGGTGAGACATAGCATATGATTTGAAAAGAATGGTTTATTGTAAGAGTTGATTTTGGAAAGTAGTGGGAAACAAATTTGGGTAAGTAATGATAGTCCCTAACACTTATGGAGCACTTTATTTCTGTTAACTGATCTAATCTTCACAATAACCCTATGAGATAGGTAGTATTATTCCTCCCATTTTACAGATAAGAAAATGGAGGCACAGAGGACTTTTATGATTTTCCCACATTTACACAGTAATTGCCAGACCCAGGATCTGAAAACCGGCAGTCTGAGGTTGGTGCTGTATCTGTTACTGCTCAACGGTTTTGTTTGGGGAAGATAATTAGATTTGGGAAGCTAGTCAGAAGTTTAATATTGTTGCTGAGGAGAATATACTCTTGAATAGGAGAGTTCTGTCTTATAGGTGACATTTTGGGAATATAAAAATGGTAACTATAGTCAGATGTTCTGGGAAGACACTTGGAGATTCTCAGCAATGGATATATGTTAGATTTATCTGGAGAGGCTTCAACATATACTGATACCGTCAGGTACCATGTCCTGACCAAGTAGACCAATGAAATCAGAATTGTTTGAGGTGGCTCTGAGCCTTGTTTATTTAAAAAGCTATCATGCATACTGTTGGTCTACAGGACTAAAAATCCTGCAGGGTCTTACTGAAGTAATTGAGGTAATTGAGACCTGAGATACTGAGTCAGAACTGAGATCTTGATAACACTGCAAAATTATAGAATTTTAGAGCTAGAATAAGTCTCATCATAGGTATCCAGCCCAATTCTCCCACTCCCCAGTGTAAGAGCTTCTAAAAAATCTCTTGAATTTGAAACATTTTCAGTTTATCATCAAGGAAAATTCCCAGTATGGTCCAGCCATAGTCCTAAATTAAAATTATTTCTGTGTTATATTGGAATGTTAAATGTGGAATAAGATTTTTGCTTATCATTCACATTATTGGCTGAAAGATGGGCATTTGGGTTCAGTTAAAATTTAATTTTAGGTGATAAGAAATACCCAACTTGTTCATTGTATTATGACAATTCCAAAAGTAATTTAAAAGAAATTAAAATGTAAGTAAAACGTTTTGTAGCATTTATATTATTAATAAATGTATTTTACACATTAATGATGTATTTGAATTTTGGGGATATTTTAACTGTTAGTTCAGTTTAGCTTTCATTGCCTTTTTTTCTTCCAATAGAGGGCACTCTAATTCAGTAATTTAAAGTACAAAATCAGCTGTCTTATGTAAGAACTTTTACTTTTGAATAAGAGGTTTCTGGTTTTATTAAAATATTAGCCTTAGGTAGTAGCTTGAACAATTTTACTAATACAAGTGAATTAAAAGTTAAATTCTTATTATGATTGAATGTATTTGATTGAAGGTTTTACATTTAACGTGGAGGCCAGCTCCAGTTAAAATCACATTTTCTCTTGCATAAATTTTAATTCAAAAGTCAGTCTGTTTTAAATGCTTTTATAATATGCATATGGAGCCATTTTCTAAGTTGAATTAGAACATTATATAATCTAGAATGTAAATTTTGAAGAAATATAAATATCTTCACATTCTTTAGCAACCCATGAAATTCAGAATTTTAAAAGAATATAAAATAATCTGAAAAAATGTTCTATTCCCTTCATTTATTTTCCCAAGTCATATATTCATTGCTTCCTCCATGTGTGTACACAATGTGCACAGCTCTTAAATGTGAATACACTATGCCGCAAAATTTGATTATAGCATACAGGTCATTAGAGCAGACTTCAGAATCTAGATTTCAGGAAAACTTTTTTTAAGATTTAAAATAGAAGAAGCATTATTGCCTCATTAGCTTATGTTTCTAAGAAGTAAATAGGAAG